TGTCCTCATCCTCCCTTCCACTACCCTCCGCCTCCCCAGCCAGGGCGGCGCCCCAGAATGTGGAACCCCCCTGCCACCCTCCCCGCCCCGCCCCGCAATGCTCCAGGACTGCACCCTGGAGGGTGGCGACCGCAGATCCGACAGGGGTGGCGGGTCAGAGCGGTGCCTGAACCCGCCTGGCAGCAGGCTCCGCCCGAGACCCCTGTAAGCAGCTACCGAGGTCCCGCCCCGTCCCACAGTCCCGGACCTGACTCCCTTGGGAGGGGGCGGTGCGGAGCCCCCGTGGGGGCCCCCTTCTCCACCTCTGCACCCTGAAGTCTCCTCCTCTCCCCTCCCTCCCCGGACTCTTGTCCTGTCTCCGTCCCGAGGGGCCGCCGGAGAAGTGGAGTCGCCCTGGCCCCCCAAACCTCCTCTGGCTTCCGCCCCCTCCTCGGCCTCCCGACACCCGGCTCTCTCCTCCCCGCCTCTGCCCGCGCATCAGCAGGTCCGCTTTCTCCAGGCCCAGCTCCATGCCGCTTCCTCCGCGAAGCTCTCCAGACTTCCCAGTCCGCCCGGCTCAGCGCTAGTTCCCCGAACCGTCCTCATCCGCTAGACGCGGGTTCAGGACACACTTCCCAGCCCCCGGGTCCTGCTCAGGGGCGGTGGAGAGCTCCGGGGCCCCGCCCCGGCTCCTGCTCCTCACCAGTGCGCAGAGCCAGGAAGAGCCACAGGGCCACAGTCAGGCCCCGCATGGCGGGCGCTGTCTACAGCCGGGTTGGGTCTAGGTCTGGGTCCCAGTGGGTCAGCAGGAGCCGGAGCTCTGTCCCTCCTTCCTCCCCGCCCGGGCTCTCAAGCTAGTTAAGTGTGTCTGGGGCGTGCCTTGGCGGTGTCCACGCCCCTAGGGCGCACCCGCCCACCCAGACTGGACACCTGGGATGACCAGACTGGCCGTGGCCTTCTCTCTGGCGCCCCTTGCTGGAGTTTCACCGCTGGGCTGTGTGGATTCCCATGCTCACCTGGGCACCACACTCAGCTGTCCCTGGGAGTCAGGTGTCTGCTCTCTGAGGCCGGATTCCCTCAATTCAAGGGCTCTGTCTCAAGATCGCCGGCCTGCTGGAGCATCTTCACTTCCTCGCCTAGACCCCAGATATCATGTTCAACTGGAGGAGGAAAAGCTCAGATTTGGAAGGAAGAAGAGGTCAGAGTCTAGGCTGGAAGGAAGCTCAAAGGCCATCGAGTTCACTCACCAGCCTCTCTTCAAGCACACATTGCACCAGGGATGTGGGGATACAGAGACAAAACCTGATGGACACAGTCCTGGCTGGGAAGGAGCTGGGGGGCGGGGTGTGTGTGGGGGGGTTTTCTCATTCTAGGCAACTGCCTCTCCTGGGACCTAATGAGGTAAGTGAGTTGCCCAGGTCACTCATTTGTCAGTGACAGAGCTGGGACTAGAACCCAGCTGGCCAGCAGAGCCTGGCTCACTCCATTAGCTTTGGAAGGTGGGAAGAAGACCCAAGAGGGGGAGAGGAGGAGGAAACAGAGAAGGACAAAGCAGATGAGAGGAGGAAGCGAGTGAAGAAGGCGAGGGAGGAAAGGATGGGTTGTCTGTTTCTCTAGGCCACTGGTTTTCAAAGTGTGGTTCCCAGACCAGCAGCAGCATAACCTGGAACTTGTTAGATACACAAATTGTTAGGCCCACCTCTGACCCACTGAATCAGAAACGCTGGGGGTAGGGCCAACACTATGTTTTTTCTTCTTCTTTCTTTTAAGTATATTTTTATTGATTTCAGAGAGGAAGGGAGAGAGAAGGGAGTGGGGGAGAGAGAGAGAAACATCAGTGATGAGAGAGAATCATTGATCTGCTGCCTCCTGCACGCTCCCCATTGGGGACTGAGCCCAGAACCCAGGCATGTGCCCTTGACCAGAACTGAACCCAGGACCCTTCCGTCCACAAGCCGACGCTCTATCCACCGAGCCAAACTGGCTAAGGCAACACTATGTTTTTTACCCTGGGGCACAGCAGAGTTTGAGAACCACTGTTGTAGGTAGACCAGGACTACAGTTCACCATGTGTGGTGGGGACGCAGAAATTGTTACTCAGTCATCTGCCTCCATTTATGTCCTTCTCTTTTATCACCCCCTCATGAGCACCCAGGACTGCGCCCCTGCCTGCCTCAGGCAGAGGACATGTGTAATAAGAATGTGAGTGAGAGAGAGGACCCGGGTCTGAGTTTGTCAGTCCTCCAGCCTGCTCTGCTCCCTGGGAAAGGAGGCCCTGGCTCCTGTGATTGGGCAGTGAAGCTGCTGCGTCTCACACATGGACATGGTCATGGGGGCAGGGCTTCAGGAGACCTGAGCTCTACTCTTATCACAGTGTGACCTCCATATGGATGTCAAAGGTAGGTCATGATGGCCCTGATGCACCGTTCTTCTTCCCCTAATACAGTGGTTGTCAACCTTCCTAATGCCGCGACCCTTTAATACAGCTCCTCATGTTGTGGTGACCCCCAACCATAAAATTATTATTATTTTTAAATTAAATCTTTATTGTTCAGATTATTACATTTGTTCCTAAATATGGCAAAGCACTGGAGAAATTATAATAAACATAAAATGAATTGTTCAGCTAAAAATATGAAATGCTTTACCTGCACAACCCATGAAGCCATGTTTCAGTAGTATTGAAGTAATTTACTCTTTGTCATGAAAATAAAGACAATTGCTTTCATTGGCAAGAATAATCCAGGGTTTATATAATCAAACGATTAAACTTTGGAACATCAAGCAGAAGTCATATTGTAAAGTCAGTTAGAAAAAGACTGCTAAATCATTATGTGTGTTCATGTTACTGTGGAATAAAAAAGATGAGGGTGTATCAGTGTATGGGAATGTGAAGACTCAATAGAACTGTTACACCACAGAATATAATCAGACTTCAAAGGTCAAGGAATGCCATGACATCAGTATGGGTTGGCTCGTTTCACAGGCAACATTTCCACCTCCAAATATACTGAAGAGAAAGCCATTGAATTAAGATATTATACCTCATATTTTTCCTTGCAATCCAATTCTCAAGTGGACTATCTAGAAGCAACCTTTATTCTTCAGACCTATCACTAGCTGCCTCATTCTAGTGTTGGGTTAAAAGTAGAATGACTAGCTTTTTAGTGCACGGGCTAGAGTGAGAATAGCTAACTTGTAGTTCTATTAAGTTTAATTTGGGTAGAGTTGTGACTGAAAAGATCTTTGGGAAAGTTGTCAGTAGAAATGAATTTTAATTTTGGCTTCATCTCACTGGTTGGATGGCTTTGGATATATGGGCCAAGGTTGTAGTTAAATGAGATTATGGTCTTGACTATTTTGATTCTCCAGAATAGGACTTAAATATTTGCGGAATAAAAGAGTGAACTTTTCTTTGTTCTTTTTTGAGTCTGTAAAATAACCATCTTAAATAATACCCAAGTTTGTGGGAATAGAAGGATCATACCTCAACATAATAAAAGCTATATATGACAAACCCACAGCCAACATCATACTCAATGGGCAAAAACTGAACCATTTCCCCTAAGAACGGGAACAAGGC